CTCCCCGATCGTGGTGATCATCAAGAGGAACGGAGTGGATATCAGGTTGTGCATTGATTATCGGTTGGTTAACAGCCTAACTCGAGTGATGATCTACCCAATGCCCTTGGTCAACGACTTACTCGAAAATCCGAAGTCGACACTTTGGTACTGTTCTTTGGATATGGCGAGCGGATTTTGGGTAGTGAAAATGACGGATCGAGCTCGTTTGATCTCGGCTTGTATCACTCCCTTTGTGTTATTTGAGTGGAATCGAATGGTCTTCGGCTTGAAGAATGCGCCCCAGATTTATCAACGTATGATCGACAACGCACTATATGGGTTTACCCGGATCCCGAAGTCTGAAGATCACGAAAGTACTTTGGATGTGTTTGAGGACGGGGTACCCGGTGGATTCAGGCAAGACATCGGTGCTTGGGCGTAGATCATATATCGGCGACATCCTGATCCCCGCTGATAACCGGGATCAACTATGTGACCGAGTCGAGGGGTTGATCGAAGCGTGTGATAAGTGGAATCTGGCGATCAGCGTGGTTAAGAGCTTCTGGGGGATGGCTAAGGTGGAATATCTGGCGAACCCGAAAGACCTGTCGGCTTTGACGGATCTAGCATTTCCAGGATCACTAAGAGCTATGCAGTCATTTTGGGGAAGTCTGAACTATTACAGCCGATTTATCGAAGACTACGCGATCTACGCGTCAGTTCTGTATGAATTACGAGAAACCGACTTCGCTGCAATGATGAAGGAAGCTACCCAAGCGCGGATCCAACAAGTACTGGAAGAAGAGGATGTAGATCATTTGATCGCGGGGAGATCAGGGTGTCGACCACCGAAAGACCTTAGATCTGGAGGCGCCGGATCCTACTGAGGTAGATCCGCGTTGGACCCATGCCCATCGGTCTTTAACTGTGCTTAAAACTAGGATCGCTACAACTTCGATCTTACGGCACTTTGACCCAGATCGGAAGGCTTCAGTTGTGGTGTATGCTAGCGATTGGGCCATTTCGGGATCATTGATGCAGGAATACGATCAGATCTACTACTGTGAAGCCGTACTCTGAAGTCGAATGAGCTAAACTATGGCATCGCGGAGAAGGAGGTATTAGCCCTTCTGAGGATCCTGTATCTTGACTATAATGCGTTGGTCGGACGTCCGATCCACGTGTTGACCCGACATTCAACATTGGCTTGGATCTTCAGATCCACAGTTTTACAAGGACGTCTAGGACAGTGGGCGGCTCTGTTGTCGCCCTGGACACCGGAGATCACCAAGTGTGTCAAAGGAGAGGACGAAATCTTGGGAGCACTGGTGGCCAGTATCACCCTTAGATCAGAAGTGGATAGGTCATTGATCTCAATTGCCCCTAAAAAGGAGCCAAGACGCAAGATCCAAGCTCTGATCCCCACTATTAGACGCGATGAGGAGCTATACGTCGTTAGTTTCGATGGATCTGCTCCCGTCAAGAGGGATGGAGGCGCCTAAAGCGCGATAATGTGGAAGCTGCCCGAATGGAGAGTGCTGAAAGCTAGATCAGGATACGCCGAAGGCTTGACAGTGAACGAGGCGGAATACCATGGGCTGTTGCTATGTTTGGATCTGTTGGAGGATCTGGATCCGCGCCGTCTGGTGATCTGCCGAGACTCGAACATGGTGATCCGACAAGTACGAGGATAGATTGATTGTAAGGCGCCAGGTCTGACACTGTTACACCAGCGAGCCTTGGAGCGACTACGTACGTGGCCAGATCACGAACTATTACACGTCAAACGAGATTGGAACGGAAGTGCTGACAGCTTAGCAAGCGCTGCTCTGCAGCGGCAATGTGGGGTCGAGATAGAGTCTGACATGGAGATCCAGAATCTCATAACTTTAAATCGGTTGGACGAGATCCTGATAGTGAAAGTCGAAGACGAGATCGCACAGATTTCAGCTGTGACGACCCGATCCAAGGCTAGACTGGAGTGTGTATTGGATCTGATCCAGATCCCTTACGAGAAGAAGTCGTGAGAGAGCTACGGATCGAGAGGATCCGGCAAGCGCAGGACGAAGAGTCGTGGATCCTGGGCTTGAAGAAGTATTTGGTTGGGGAGATCCGGGATCTGACACAAAACGATGCTAAGATATTTGGCTCTTTTGCTATGAATTATGAAGTGGATCAGTCTGATCTACTTGTCTACTGCCCGACAACTAGAGAAGCAGCCGCAGATCGTGATAAGTTGATGCTACTAGTGATACCTGAGACACTTCAACGGGACATTTTGCATCACTATCACACGAGCCTACAGAGTGGCCATCAAGGGTTCGGTCGCACCTACGATCGGATCCGTGATCATTTCCACTGGAGAGGGCAGTCCAAGAGTGTGCAGCGATATGTGGGAGAATGTGTTGATTGTGAAATGGGTAAGGGGTGACCTCGGATACAGGGTGAGGCACCTGGTAACCTTCAGGCAACATACCCATTCCAGATCATCGCCATGGATCACATACCTTCGCTACCTAGATCCTTCAATGGCAACACCGAATTACTGATCTTCGTGGATCTATTTTCAGGGTATGTGATCGCCAAATCCAGCGTCTCCAGATCCGCTCAAACAATCGCGGAGACCTATGAGGAATGAGTCTTTCGTAGATTTGATGCGAGTGAGGTGATCCGGCATGATCGGGATCCAGGTTTTATGTCTGACTTCTTGAAGCCCTTCAACAAGATCTTAGGTCTACGTCAACGTGCTACTATGGCTTATCGACACAAAGCTAATGGATCCGCAGAACGTATGGTCCAGACAACTACTAGGGCTCTTAAGATGAATGTGCAGGATCTGGATCAACGAGATTGGGACTAATACGCTGAGCGGCTCACCTTCGCGATCAACACTGCAAGAGACCGGATCCGAGGTGA